CTCCCCTCCCTCCCTCCCTCCTCCATCATCACGACACTTGAATCTATAGGTGATCTTCGCTTCAAGTTTTTATCGACTCATAAACCGTTTTGCTCCAAGAATCATTTCATATTTAACGCACACTTGACCGAAAGGGGAGGGACGTAATGTCATTTTTAAGAAAGAAAATTTGTATTTTATGTCACAGTAGATACTAGGTGACATAAAAAAAATAAATATATATATATATATATATATATATATATATATATATATATATATAGTTGCGCGTAACGCATTAGTCTCTTGATGGAATGTGAGGACCATCAGAACATTTTTTTATTGAATGACATTACGATTTTAAGGGTTTGACATGAAAAATCACTATCAGCAGAAACACATCACAAAGATTCTTCTCGAAATAATTGAAAAAAAAGGGAAAAAAAAAATTATGGTTGGAAATTAACAACTCTCTCGTATATTAAAAAAATTATATATTTGAAATATAATTTTGTGGAAATTATTTTATTATATCAGTATAAAAAGACAATTTTAGTCGTATAGAGACAATAAAAAAATTTAAATTCTTATTAAAAAAAAAACCCTCTTTTTTGCTCAATAGAGGAAAATTAAATTCCCTAAAAAGCAATTTTTAGTCCAAGAGTCCTTAGAATTTAGATTGATATCTTAGAATCAGACGCAAAGTGGTTATCTATCACAAAAAGAGGAACTAAGATAGAGAGAGAGAGAGAATGAGGTCATCGCACTCTGTTGCTTTCAATAATTTGCGAGTCTAATGCTCCTCGGGTTTCGGGAGTGATAGGCATTTTAACCCTTTCGTCTGTAGATGAAATTCAGTAGCTAAAGACGAACAAATTGACATATCTACGGTAGTACTGCCTAAAGTGAAATCTCGACTTTTCTTATAATATATCAAGAGAGAGAGAGAAAGAGAGAGGGGGGGGAGGGAGAATGAAAGCATCAGGACCGACATTTTAAAATCAATGAATAATTCAATTTTGTGTAGGTTCTTATCTTCGTGAAATCAATCGCTCCCGCCCCCTCCCCACCCTATCCCCCCTTTTAACATCCTGTTCATTTTACAAATTTATGGAAAGTTGAAGGATGTATACTTCCTGTTCATTAATCTTTAAACTTTTCCATCATTATTCACAGTTGAGAGAACGTGAAATATGAGAATTAAATCAATCTTGAGAGGATCTTGAGATATTTTATTAAATGATCATTTTCAAGAATGAGTGTTCTTAAAAGTTAATTTTTCCAAAAAAATTAAATTTTTGTTATTATTATTATAATACCCACTTGGAAAGATTTCCTGGAAAGTGCCTCCTGAAGGTTCTATCAGAATTCCGCCGGAACTTCCAACGTAATTCCTTCGGAATTCCATTGGAGTTCCAAAGAATTTCCGATGGGATTCAGACGGAATTTGGACTCTAAAAATTTTGAAAAAAATTAATCGGAATTCCGTCGGAATCTCACAGAAAATTCTTTTGAACTCCGATGGAATTCCGACGGAATTACGTTGGAAGTTCCGACGGAATTACGTTGGAAGTTCCGGCGGAATTCTGATAGAACCTCCAGGGGTCACTTTCCGGGGAATTTTTCCAAGTGGGTAATTAATAAAAATTTCAAAAAAATATTTCAAGAGACAATTTTGCATAAGGAAACTTTTTTCTCTAAGACCCTCGTATTTAATGGAATTAACTCTCTGTCTCTCTTTCTCTCTCTCTCAGTCTATATATTTACTTTTTAAGAAGTATTCATGCAGAGGTGCATCGAATGTGATAATTGCGGGAAACATATCTCAGCATTATATGGTAACATTATAGCCCAGATGTTTTCACGTGAGCTACTAGATTTTCCCCTGGGGTTCTGGCATCTGTCGACATCAGTATTCCTACTCTCATCTATGTAATTCATGAGTACACCCTGCATAACGAACTGTGACCGAAGATGTAAATGCGGTAAGTTTTCGTTGAAAATCTCATTGCGCCCGAAAAGTTTTGCGGAAAACAGAAAGCCTCTCGTAAGCTTTCGTGAAAATTTATTTTACCATCGTTTATTTCCGTTGAAAATTGTTGTGCAAGTGAATGCAACTCTCAACAAATTATAACGTTTATAATTAATTTACATCAGTAAATTTTTTTTTTATTGATCAAAACAATTTTGAAATACATATATTTTTTTAATCATAAGAGGAAAATTTTAAACAAATTTAAAAATTAGCATAATTCTTGTTCAATTGAATTTTAACAAATACGAATTTTCATATGATTTAATGTAAAAATTTCTAATTCACGGAATCTTGAGTTGTTCAAATTTTTATTTTTACTAATTTTTATTTTGTATAATTCTTGAAATGACTTAATTTTTATTTGTCCAAAATTGCAAATTTGCCAAATGTAACTATCAGAAATTATCATGAAAATCATGATTGGTAAATTTTGAAAATAGCACCGAAATCATTTTTGACTGCTATTTGGTTATTTATTTCGGATTAATGAAAATTCAGCGTTTTAAAAATTCTATCAAATAAAAAATCGAACAAATTAAGATTCTGTAAAAAAAAAATCTATAAAAATTTTTTAAAATAAAAAATCGTTTAAAAATGGAAAATCTGTTAAATGCTAATTCAAAAAATGAAAAATTATATCGTAATAAAATTTTTTAAATATTAAAAATTCCTTGAAATACTTCTTAAAAATGCCATTTATGTAGAGAAAGAATTTATTTCAAGTTTTCTAATATCTCTGTGCAAGGGTCCACTTTAAAAAAGCTTTTTCACGAAAGACAGAGACACATAAGATTCCTCTCTCTCTCTCTCTCTCTCTCTCTCTCTCTCTCTCTCTCTCTCTCTCTCTCTCTCTCTTTCGCCTGAGAATAAGTTAGCTGACGATTACAAAGAGTCCATGCAAGAAAAAAAGGAAAACTTTTAAAAAGGGTGCAAAAAAAGGGAGGGGGGGGGTTTGAATAGAAGATGGAGTGACGAACTGGGAATTGCTAAAACGGTAAAAGAGTTTTCGGCGAAAGCAAGCGGCACTTTCGACCACACCAAGACAAAGTTTGAATAATGCAGGATCACAAGTCTGCTTAAAACTGATCAGTTTCACCTTTTCTGATCTTAACTCTCTGTGTCTTTCTTTCTCTCTCTCTCTCTCTTTCTCTCCCTTTTTCCTTTTCTAAGCTCACTCACTCTCTCTCTAAGAATAAAGACGAAACGAAGATTGATTTTAGATTGCTTGGGAATTGGGAATGCCGAGGCACTATATACTCTCGCAAGGCTGTTTGTGCTATGTGTGTAAAGGTTATACTGTTGCAATTCTATAAAGCGAGCTTTTGCACTCTCGAGGGAAGTAGAGAACTAACGTCAAGCCTTATACGTGTGATTCGTATTCCTACCGATCAACCATCAAAATTTGAATACCTGATAAAATGACCAATCCCAAAAGGAATTCTCTCGGATAATTGAAAAAAAAAACAATACAAAAATCATGGTTTAAAGCACTTTTTTTATATCCCTTGGAGAGTAATTCTCGATTACAAATATAGAACGAAGCGTGTGTGTGTGTGTGTGTTGACCTTCGATTTACTGACCCGACACCCTTTTTATTTTTATCAACTGAAAAGAAATGCAATTTACATTTCATTAACAGAAAAATTTAATCTAACATTATTCCAATTCAAAAATTCAATTAAAATACTAATTTATAATAAATTCTTCAGAAAGAATGATAAAAAATTTTTAATTAGAAAAAAAAAACTATCAATTATGAGAAATTAATAAGATTTTAATAAAATATTAATTATAAAGAAAAAAATGAAATAATTTTAAATTGATTATTAAAAAATAATTTCTATTCAATAAATATAGAGAGAGAGAGATAATGTTAAACCAATTCTACTATTATCGAATAGGTGCATTATTTCTTATTACCATCCACTCTCCTTTCCATTTCCTTTCAGTTCTTTACAGTCTCCACTTCAAGCGTCTTGCTCCCATGAAATATTCAAAGCGATGAAATAGCCTAACTTCTAGCACGACGAAGTACCAAAAAAGAAAAATTCCCATCTGCCACACTATAGAAGTGAGGAAATGTAAAATTGAAACCTTTTTTTTTTCTAACCAAAAAAATTCGTAAATCTCGGGGAAAAATCCATAAAGTCTCATCTTCTCAGACAGCAAAAAAAAAAAATAAAACGAAATTTTAGTATTATACTGCAAAAAAAAAAAAATTCTTTTGACAACTCTATTATTTATAGAAAGAGAAAAAATATTTCGAAATTGAGAATAAATATTTATTTACTATTTGCGGAAAAGAATTTTTTTTTTTACTACCAAAGTCTAATATTAAATAATTTAAAAGAGTATATAGTCTGACTAAAACTGTTTTTACTACTTAAATTAAAAAAAGGAAAACAAGTTGACTAAAACTTTCTAAAAATAAAAAAAAAAATTGTAATTTTTCGTTTCTAACTAAAAATACTCTTTTACTACTAAATCGAAAATTATAAAAACGAAACCATTTTTGTCCCAACTAAATTTTTTTTTCACTACTAAAACAAAAAAGAATCTAAGAAACCTTTTTTTGTCTGACAAAAACTGTATTTTTCTACTGTTACTAAAATTGCTTGAAAAAAAAAAAATTACAAAAAAAGTCTATAAAAAAAATATTAATATGAAATTAATAATTTAGAAAAAAAAATAATTTTCATAAAACTGAAATTAAATATAAATATTTAAAATTGATGAATAACTTTTCTATCATATTAAATTGTTCAATTGTGTTGGAGAAATGGCAATTAATTTAATCTCATAATTTTAATGTCCTATATAGAAGATCCCATTGAATAACAACCTCCCCTCCTCTATATATATATATATGTATTCTATTTTACGTACTTCGTGCTTTAAGCTCGTAAAGCTTGCCATTTACACTGTACTCTTGTACATACATCTGTGTGTTTGGATAAGATAATCACGAATTTATTTTATGTTTCAGGGACTACCGTGGGGCGAATGGTCACCGTGTACAAGGTGAGTAAAATCAAAATTTACGACTCAACTGTTATTTATTCAACCCATCAACTATTATTCCTAATATTATTTATAACTTTAATCACATTAAAACAAAATCTATTAGTGACGCAAAATTCATTATAATATGTCTGAATTAAAAATAAAAAATTTACACGAGAAAAAAAAATACCTACATTTTATTAATATTGAAATTAATTACCAAAAGTATTTGCATGATAAAAACAATATAAATAAGAAACATGAATATTAATAATGTCAATAATAAAAGAAAGCAATATGAATAAAAAAAACAAAAAAAATTTATTAATATTTTTTTATAAAACTGTAAATAATATTATAAAAAAAATAAATAATTAAAAAAAAATAATAAATAAAAGTAATTTTTGAATTTCAATTTATTTATTATTTGTCCCTTTTTTATTATTTACGTTATTTATTTTTTTTTGGCACTTATACTCCATTTATTTGATTCCCCACTGAATTTTGATATGTAAACATTTTTAGTAAAAAAAAAAAAATTATTTCGTATTTTAACAAGCATTTAAAATTTGATTCTTTTGTAAATAAAATGCAATTCAATGAATAAGTTAAATTCAAAAGGATTGAAATTTTAAATTCAAAACACAAAAGAGAGTCAAGTGCATGTACTCGAATGTTTTTTTTTGTAATGTTTTTAAACAAAATGATTTTAAATTAAAATAATTGTAAATAAAATTAAAGTTATATAATAGAATAATTTATTTAATGAAAAACATTTTGTTAAGTATTTTAACAGTACTTGACTTTGGAATACTCGTTAACACCGTATTGTACATATATGTGAAAAGTACTTGCATTAATATTTTTTTAATTTAAAATATTTTCTCACATTTTTTTTTTTATAAGACAAAAATGGTTTTATAATTTTTTTTTCTCTATTGTATAATATAGTTTCTGTGGTAACTTTTCACCATCTGGAATTGTTGTAATTATTTTCCACGGAAATACAGTAGACTGCAATGGGGGATAATAATTTATGAGTTCTATAAGTTCAAACTTTACTAGGCTGGCAACGCCTATTTATACGGATCTAAAGTGTCTTATACACTTATCTATACTACTTTTATTTTCTGTACTTTGTTTTCGATAAACTGAGAGAGAGAGAGAGAGAGAGAAAAAAAAAGAGTGTGAAGACGCTTCTTTTTTTTCAAACTTTGTAGAGAAAACTTTTTTTCTATTTCGTGAATGAAAAAAAAAATATATTTTTTATTTCTTTTTTTCAAATAGGAAAATTCCAATCACTTTTAAATTTATATTAATTGAAATTTTTTTTTTTTAATTTAAAGAAAAAAATGAATTTTATTTCTAATTTCCAAGTTGTTTGACGTCAATAAAATATGATTTTTATTAATATTTTTCAAAAATTGAACATAAAAATTTATTTGCTGAACAATTGTTAAAATTCAATTAATTCTTTTTTTTACAGACGTTGCGATGGAGGTATATCCAGACAACAGAGACGTTGTCGGAAAAAACCTTGTAAAGGAAAATCGTGGAGCGTCAAATATAAACTTTGTAACACACAGGTGAGAGATTTAAAAAAAAAATCATTAAGCTAATTTTCCAATTGTAATTATCAAATGTCAATCAAAAAATTTTTTTAAATAATAATTAATTTTTAATCAAAATCTTTTGTTTCTTTTTCTTATTTGCTGCGTTAGATAGAATCACACAATACGTAAAATCCCATATATGGAAAAATCTAGAAAATGAAATAACTTTTTTCAGATTTCTTTAATAAAATAAAAAAAAAAAAAAAACTATTGCACGAAAAATGAAAATAAAATTTTGATTTTAATTAATTATTAAAAAATTTTTGTTTATTATTTAAAACACCACAAAAGTGTGTATATAATAAAATATTTTTTACCATATATTAATTAAAAAATAATTATTGTTTTTAAATCCATGAAAAATGATCCAGTGAAAATATTTTAATTAAAATGACCTAATGAATGGAAATTTTTTTATGTATATTATTTAAAAATTACAGCAAAATATTTACAAATTATTCTTGTAAATAAATATTTGAAATTAATTTATAAAAAAATTATATATATATATATATATATATATATATATATATATATATATATATATATATATATATATATATATATATATTTTAATAATACACTTTTATCAAAAATGTTTGCATTAAAATATTAATTAACAATTCAAGTGAATTTATAAAACGTCAGTTTCAAAATCAATAATAATTAATCAATTTTAATTTTAAAGATTAAAAGAAACAAAAAACTAAAATTATCATTGAGAATCGTGAAATAAAAATAGTCAAATACAGAATTATTGAACTGTAAATTATAGACCAGGAGAAATTAATTAATTCCTGTCACCTGTTTTTTACCATCGAGTTTATATTTTTGCAATTGAATATGAAAATAATATTAATAAGCATTTTTCAAGCTTAATTACATTTGATTAATGTACAGTGGTTTTTTAAAAATGAGTTTTATTTAGAGACAAATATATTAACTTCCTTTTAAGTGGTCAATTTTTCGACATATGAAGTTTCACAAAATTTGTATTTATATAAAAACTGTTAATTGTTTTTTTTTCTTTTTAATTTTTGTAAATTTTACTCTCATTTAATTTAAAATAAATTATATTTAGTTGGAATTAAAAAATTTCTGATAATTTCCCGTATATTACCCTGAGATTTTACACGAAAAAAAAGAGAGAGAGAGAAAAAAAGACAAGTTACATGGTTAAATTACGTGTAGAAAATGTATGTAGTTGGTCTCATCCCTATATGATCATATAGCTGACACGAGCTCTTCTAGTACACTTTTATCTGCATAGATATTCTGTATGTGTGGTACAAGCGTAACAACTGACTCTGCAGATATCGCGGTCCCCACGGGAACATTGCAATGCAGGCGACCTGACCTACATTCAAATGTGGGACAAAATTTTCGGACAAAGAGAAAATAATCATTGAATTCAAGGGATATATATATGAATAAAAATATTATTTAAAAAAAAAAAATCCCCAACATCTGATCTAATTTTTGTTGTCTGTATCATTATTTCGATATATCAAAAGTTAGAAAAAAAAATTTCCATCTCTGATTTTTAGAAACCAATACTTTCCCTGAGAAATAATTTCAAAAAAAAAGAAGTATTTTCGCTTTTTCTATTTTTTATTTTTCTAAGACCCTGAAAAATAATTTCAGCAAAAAAAAAGGAGAATTTTCGCTTTTAATACTTTTATATTTTTTGAAGATTGTAAAAAATTATTTTCAGTAAAAAAAAATAAGAAGAAGAATCGTGAAAAAATTGACAAGTTTGTTATATTTTAAAATTTTATAGAAAACGTACAATTCAACGATAATCTCAAAATGTCAATATAAATTACGATAAGCTTCGAGGCGTATCGAACCATATGAACCATTACTCTTGATCACATATATATATATATATACATAAATGTCTAATATTGTATAGTCGAACCAAACTTTATACAGTTTCGGTTGCATGAATGCAATGTACTTTACATACTAAACTACTTGGAAAACGTATAAACTTGTCTATTTAAATAAAATTATTTCCTCGAGAAACAAGTGCAGTAAACGAATCAAAAGAACCGTATATTGGGATGAGACCATTCACATTATAGTCAAAGTGATTCTAATTAATTGTTAAAAAAAATTCGTCTAACTAAATATTGACTTGTACTACTGATTTTCTATTTTTATAAATTATGTCTGACTAAAATCGATTTATACTACTGATAAAATTATTTATTAACGAGTCTTATTAAATATTTACTTGTACTACTTTTTTTTTACACATTACACAAGGTCTGTCTGACTAAATTGATTCTATACTACTTAAAAAATACAAAAATTTAGAAAATCTGACTAAATATTGACTTGTACTACTGATTTTCTAATCTAGAAAATATGTCTGACTTAATTGAGTTTATACTACTAAAAAATACAAAAATTTAGAAAATCTGACTAAATATTGGCTTGTACTACTAATTTTCTATTTTTAGAAATTTTGTCTGACTAAAATCGATTCATACTACTGATAAAATTATTTATTTACGAGTCTTATTAAATATTTACTTGTACTACTTTTTTTCACATTACACGACATTATGTCCGACTAAATTGAGTCTATACTACTTAAAAGATACAAAAATTCAGAAAATCTGACTAAATATTGACTTTTACAACTAATTTTCTATTTTTAGAAATTTTGTCTGACTAAAATCGATTCATACTACTGATAAAATTATTTATTAACGAGTTCTTACTAAATATTTACTTGTATTACTTTTTTTTAAACATTACACGATATTATGTCCGACTAAATTGAATCTATACTACTTATAAAATACAAAAATTTAGAAAATGTGACTAACTATTGACTTGTACTACTGATTTTCTAATCTAGAAAATATGTCTGACTTAAAATCAGTTTATACTACTTTGAAAAATTACAAAAATGTAGAAATTATAACTGAATATTCATAATTAAAATTAAATTAATATAAATTAATTATTAAATTAAATAAATAAATTTCTACTATTAGCAAAATTACAAAAAAATTTGGCAACTCCCACACCTTTTATTAAGGGGGAAAAATCTAGGCAATATATGTATAATTCCCCCCCGCCCCCCAGATAAATAGATAAAATGGTAAATTTTTAAAATAGGAGCCAGTCAAAAAAAAAATTTATTTTTGACATTTAAATATATTGACAAGACAAATTTTGACGCGGAAAATGCCTCTTTGTTGGAACTTTTTTTTTTTTTTTTTATCACAACATATATATTCAATTGACACAACTCACATTGTTCATCTTTGATTGACGCAATCCTGTTGTGAAAAGAACCCTCCATATTCACCGATTTCAAAATTGTACGAGGCAGTTATGACCCTCTATAATTTTTCCCCTAACGATAAAGTGATGCTTTCATTTATATTGTCAAAATACAAGGGAAAAAAAAATTCCTTCACGATCAAATTTAGATTATCAATATATTATTATCAATAAAATATTTATTTGAACCAATTAATTAATTGAATCAAATAAAATTTTTTTTTTTCATTAAAATAAAATTCCAAAAAAAAATTTTACTGAATATTATTTAATATAATAATAATTAATAAATACAAAAAGAAAAAATCAGGGGAAATTTTATTGAAAAAAAAGAGAGAAAGAGAGAGAGAGAGAGTTTCAAAAGGAATTCAATGAAGTATTAATCGCTCAGGGAGTCAATTACACCAAAAGCGGTCCTCGAAGTTGCACGTGGAGACAATAATTTAGCGGAGCAACAATAAATTTCAAGTTAAAATCCGACCGGAAGGGATTTACTTCGTGGGATACCAGGTCCTTACCGCTTCCGTTTTGCGAATACCCACACGTATATATATATATATATATATATATATATACATATACGGAATTGTCGACAGAGACTGTGGATTCAAACCCATACTATAAATAAGGAATATATTCCATTTGAATCGCATTCTCTCTTTTATCAAAGAATTCTCCACTATTTTTTTTTCCTCTTTATTTCATATCAACATTCTACTTTATTAAATTCAAAGAAAAAAATTAAAACTACGCCACATTTTAAACATTATTGTAAACGTATTTAAAGAATTCCTCGTCATAATATTAAATTGGATTTATATTTGAAAATTTTTTTTTTCTCTCAAAGATTTTTTTTTTTATTTAAATTTTTTTTTCTATTCTAATTTTACTATTAAAAAAATAATAAAATAATGAATAATAAAATTATTAGCATTATTATTATTATTTTTTATTATTTTATTATCATCTAGATTTAGTAGTAAAAGACAAGTTTAGTCAGGCAAAATCTTGTTAAATTCTTTGAAAATTATGTGTTAGTAGTAAAAACAAATTTAGTCAGACAATAATTTGTTAAATCCTTAAAAAATTAGTTTGCAGTAGTAAAAGATCGTTTTAGTCAGACATACACGGAAAAAAATGAAAAAGTAATTTTTACTACTTTCATAGTAAAACGGAAACTGTCCGAAGTTTCTACACATCTCTGGCAACTTTTACTCTAAAAATAGTAAAATTGACTATTTTTGTAGTAAATTTTACTGTTCCGTAGTAATTTTTACTATTTCTAAAGTAAATTTTACTATTTTTGGAGTAAAAGTTGACAGAGATGCGCAGAAACTTCTGACAGTTCCCGTTTTACTATGAAAGTAGTAAAAATTACTTTTTCTTTTATTCCGTGTAATAATTTTTTTAAATCTACATTAAAAGTATTAAAATCTAGCCAAAAAAAAAAGGTTGCAAAAAATTTGTAATTTTAGTTCTAGTAGTTAATGCAACGTAATGGTTATGTACATGAAGGTAAATAGAATTTAATAAATTTTTAATTCAAGTGAAAAAAATTTAAAGAGACGGGGCTAATGTTGTGGTGAATAAAATGAACTAAAAAATGCAAGAGAGAGAGAGAGAGAGAGAGAAGAGGGGTATCATTAGCATAAAGAAAGTACGAGCTAATT